GATAAACCCGGATAGAAGAATACTGCAAAAGCAGACCTTGAAGCTTGGGTCCCAATTGTGCAACAACTACTGGATCTATCAGAATAATGGAATCGATGGGAGAGGCATGGTGGAATCAACAGCATTGGTCGTGATATTTTTTTAACCTAACTTTCAGTTATTAAAGATCTTCGGTGTAGCTTGTGACATAATTCACAAAATTAGGCCATTATATAAGTGCAGCGCCAAACTTGAACATTATAATCATCTAAATGGCAATATTTTCCATTGTCACTAGCCAACTATGGGAACTGAGGTCTGCCTTTCAAATAAATAATGCATATAAATTGACCCTGACATGGTCAATTCAACTGCAGCTGAAGACATTGTGGGTTCCAAAAGTATTCATCCAGTGAGTCCACAAAGAGCAAAGGGGTTGGAAAAGGCGTAAGAGGAATACGATCTCCTGAAAAAAGACACTCCACTCAGCCGAGTGAAGGTTGACAGTCACAAAATTTCACAATTGAATAAGCAGTCAACAAAGTGCGAAGTTACCTTTCTGCAATATCTTGACAAACTTACAACTCCATATTTTTGAAATGTTTACTTTTTATGTGCAATAGAATTAAGTTACTATTTTTTGTAAGTCACTTGGTTATTTTATTTCAGTTCTACATGCATACTGTTGAGTTGGAGTTTCTATCTCTTATCGAAGAAAACCATATGGCATGTGTGGATTTACATTTCGCCAATGGAAGATGTTTCGGTCACAGCTATATGAAGACTTTCATAATAGTTCACCTGAGCAGCTCTGAGAAAACTGCACCTTGCAGGAACTTACTCTCTGGTGGACACATTCACACATACAAACATTCTATGTTGTTGGTATTTCTCGTGGAGGTGTAATGCTAAAACTGCAGGGCTGGAACCGTCAGATATGTGAAAACTTTACAGAAAAAGGCAGCCACCATATGAGACACTGTACGTAATTCAATTCCAAAGTGGCTGTGAATTAAGACTTATGCAATCAGGTGGATTGGAAATGTAGTTAGACACAATGTAGTTAAACACAATTGGAAGGTTTTAGCGTTCAACACCTGGCTAGGGGGTTGACTTTACTCATCCAACTGGATTAAATGAAATATGTACCAATGTGAGAATTAAAAAGTGCGTGTCATTTGCAGTAACTGGCCCCTGGCGTTTGCATTGCTTAGCACCAAACGATTTGAACATTGCCACCCCAAGGTTATTCGAGAAAGAAGGCTCTATTTGACCTGACTTGAATAAGGATTTTACAATTATTCCAAGGCCTGAATCAACTGTACTATATATATATTCCTTAGAACCAGTGCGGTACTCACAAATTGATGATTGTTTCACAATGTGGTGAATCATCTTTCCACAATGTTTTATTTAATTAGTTGTAAAAAATGATTAAATGAAATGTTAAAACAAAAGCTGTTACATGACGCAGATACCGCACATTTCGCCTAACGCTGGGCAAGTTTACAGGTGACTGTGAACTTGTCCAGCTTGTTATTCCTGCCCTAAAGCAACACAGATAGTGCACTCATGTGAGCAATGGTGTCACGCTGGCAAAACGCGGTCAGCCACAGCAAAGGAGTCGATGAACGAGTACACCCGATAGTCAGAGGAATTACTCACGGCTAAGTTGCCATGTTTTCTGAGATTACAAAGTTTTATTTTGCACTTGATAGCAATAGGATTCAATTGACATTTGACACTTTACATAAACGCAAGCCCTACTCATGAGCATAAGTGAGATAAGTGTGGCAGATAAGTTTGTGATGATTGTATAAGTGAACTAATAAATAATTCCATCTAAAATGTCAAAAATTATAATATGGTGCCTTTATGAATACATAGATTAAAATTTTACTTTATTAAATCCCTCCTCTTGCTTAGTCACCCAATTTCACATGCTTATGATGACGAATTATTTCCCTCCCAGACAGAAGATCACGTGAAAGGGCTTCAAAAATCAGCTAAGAGTATATTCATCGTTATGGGCACCTTGACATAAGAACAGCAATTCAAATCAACTCAATACTCTTCTAGTTTTTGCCATTCATTGCAGTAAAGAAATTACGCAGATGCAATAGTAGCATCAGAGTGTTAGTTTAAACCAACACGCTTATTGATATTCTTGGCACCTAGGCATGTCGATAAAAAAATATTGGTGCAAGCCATTATATTAACTTAGCCATTGAAACATTACATGCTCGTGTAAGCATAGCCTTGTGGTAATCATGCTGTCAATTGTGGAGGCAGATGGAATCTTAACAAAGGGCTAATCATGGAATTTTCTCAACGACGACCATTCTGTTTGTGTGAAATGTGGTGCTTAAACGTGTATCTGATTGGCCTACCTTGCCACCCAGAGATATGTGCAATCCAGTGGTACCAGCCCGATCCTCATCATATCAGAAACCAAAGTAAATGCTCATGAGTTCCATTTTCACTGGCAATGAGTGCACACTATGTCTTAAGTGTGGCAAGCTGGGGTGGATCTTATGTGGTATGTTATGGAAAGAATATAGGTGTTTGTAGTATAGAATTTGAAAGACCCAGTTGTTACTTGCCTAAATATGTACAACCGATGAAATTAACTAAATCACGAGCATGCGACCGATTTCGTCAGATCTCTGAAGCTAAGCAAATTGAGCCTGGGCAGTCTTTCCCTGTTCTAACAAGATGCCTCACATATTGTTATATGCTGCAGTAACTACGGGTGGGCAGCAGTTAACAGTTTTGGCAAAACCCAATGTTGTAATGTTCTTCTATGCTCTTCCATCTTTGCTCCATGCTTCCACCAACCGACACTGACCAACAAGGTGAATGGTTAAAAAAACTTTATGACCGCAGTTTCAGGAGAATTAGGGCTGTGCACGTATATCCTGCCATTACATAACAGCCTTTACCTGTCCTACTGTATTTTCATCTTGACATTTCATCATAAGAATGGGACTTGGTTACATCATCACAATACTAGCCTAAATATGTATTGCGTGTTTAAAAGTTAATCCAGTACCTTCTGACACCTGCATTTATGGTGCCTCTAGGCGAGTTTAATTTAAAGCAAACAATGTTGTTATTTTAGTTACCGTTCAGGCATATGGCTCCTCTGATCAACAACAAATGAGTCAACACCGATATAAACAGGAATGCAATACCTGTTTACTGTATCCTGGAATAGAGATTATGTGGCTGGTATTTTTACATCACCTACAAAGCTATTATAACAATTTTGTAGAGTGGTTATTTGCATGCAAAGCTACTGTGCCTCATATTTAAATATTGACGATTAAAGTTACATCAGGAATAAAAAAAAAACTACATAGTATCTTGGACAACAAGCATGTCAACGTTGTAGTATCAAAAACAATTATCAGAGAAAGCTTATAGTTAGACAATTAGTATTCACATTTGAAATAAAATAAAGCATTAACAAGACACTTTTCAATCAAATTACATAAAAAAAATTCATTATTCACCTAGTAGTGAACAGAAGGAAAAGTTACGACTTAAACCCATTAAACATACCACAGGGTGACCATATTAACTTGAGCTATAATTCCAGGTCCTGGAAATGTTTAAAACTTGGGAGGAGAGCTTATGGCACTGCAATGGCTTACGACAGTATTGAGAACATGTATCGGTTGGCTGTCAATGTGATCATTTGACTGGGAATCAAACAAACACGCAAATTGGTTCAGTAGCAATATAGTATCCTCACGCTCTGGACTTGGAACGAGATGTTTTAATTGGTCATTGTTTATTTTGGCGGCATGTTTGTCACATTTGGTAAAAATAAAACTATACAGTACAGAAGACTCTCAACCCACATTGACTGCAGTGCACAGCCTACTTAGTCCAATGAGACGGGTTCTAAAAGCCGAAATCAATCAGTCTGGTGTGTTGATAACAATGCCATAATGCCTGACTCAGCACTTATCTGGTAATGGACTTGCGCTAGGTCTATCAAATTAGTTAATTGTCCAAGCCTATGTTGAACGAGCTTTACCAATTTAACTCAATCACCATCACAATTTCCACTAGAATTGTATTCAGTTATTGAGTTAGAATGTCATGGTAAGCTAATTTAAAAGCCCACATCCTATATTAAAGTAACAAAAATGATGTTACGAAATATATTTAGGTATGGTTCACTGGCCCTTTATTATAAGGTAACCCATCTCAACACCATGAGCTCTTATCTCGTTAAGTCTTTGACAATTGCGCCCATTGTAATACTGTACACATGAAGAATATATCAACGTTATAAATATACGTTTCTTAATGACATAAACTGTAGACAATTTAAATGCATTGACGCCGAGAAAACGCCCATGTGCAGAATGTTCGTCCCGCAATTACACCATCCACGCAAAGTGGTTTACACCGATAGATTTACGACTGATACCATGCAAGTGTCAACAGAAACGTAATTTTCTCCATTAACTGCGAAATACACCCCACATTATGAAAATAGATTAAAACACTGGAACAGAAGCTTGTTAACGGGAAAAACAACTCCTTGTATCCAGTTATGGTAAGTAGTCTTCAATATGTGATAGTTTACAATATGTTGAGGTACATTAACATTTGAAAAAAATCTACCTTTAAAAACGAGTTAAAAACAGTGTTATGGAGTGAAATGTTGCGAGTTTAAAATCCGCACCGGTACTTGGCAAAGAGAACCAGTGCACGTTTTGAATGAGCCACAACCAACGCCGAATGTAAAGAATAACAATTATTAAATACACAAGCCGCCTTGCAGCTAAAATCAAACATCGCTCGACAACAAAGTACGACCAGCGCTGCCCGAGTGGGGCTCGTTCCAGGGTGGCCGCTTGGGGCGAGGAAAGCAGAAAAAAGCCTTCAGCCGATCCCGCACCACCCACTGGTGGCCCACGGACGCGGCGGGCGCCTTCTCGTCCCAAGGCTGCCGACGGGGCTAGGAAAGAGGGGAAAAGCCTCGGGCCTAATCACCAACTCACCAGACACTTGCGGCCCAGCATGTTGAAGATGATCTCATTCTCGTGCGGGGTGAGCACGGCCGACCTGGCACTCGGCGGCTGCTGTTGCTGCCTTTTCGGCTGCGTAGACATGGTTAAGAACATGTACGTGTCGCCGTGCCCGTGCTCTCCGCGGAGTCTAGAGCCGCATGCCCCAAGGCCGCCGCTGCCGCCGCGCCACTCAAAATGGCGGCGCCGTGACTCCTCCCCCTCGACAAACCGCGGCCCCGCCCCCTCCGCCTCCTGCTGCTGCCTTCACTACTTCTTCTTTTATTCATAACTCCTGACAACACGCAACGCACAGTAGAATACCTGACCACGGTACTTTACTCCTTGGTTCTTTCGGTAAAGTCACGTAGAAATAAAATAACAATTAAATATAGCATACGACTTTCGATTGCAACACAAGCAACCATCATCAGGTACAAATGAAAGAGAAAACAAACCTAGTAAACTTAAAAATATAATGCGATACAGCACAGAGAGTCGGCTAACACAACAGTCAACACCCCACCTGGTTGATTACGTTCTTCCAAAAATTGCTAAATTTGAGAGAGAGACAAACACCTACACGGAGACACATAGACAGACACATACGCAGAGAGAGACAACACAGAGACACACAGAGAGAGACACACACATAGGCACACAGACTTTACCGAAAGACCCAAGAATATAATCCAGTGGCACTTCGTCATGTCTGAAGGCATGCCATTATCTTGTTCTTCTACGTAATTCGTAACAATTGTCACTTTCAATGTCTCAAAAGCCCTCGCCACTTCTATGGTCATCCAATGCACACCAATAAGTGGCCCCTTCTTACAAATATACTCGGTACAGTATTCATGTGAAGATTGTTAGCCACTGCTGCATGAAAGCCTGCCCTAGCACCCACCCCCAGTAGCAACTATTCATCCAGCACCTGTACACAAACCCATGTCATCGCTCCATCCCTTCCCAGACGTATAACATTCACGTGGCAGATCACTAAAATTATAGACATTCATTTGAAGAGAAACGCTTTGTGTAGTTATTTCAAGACCTCTGTAATTGTTTCAGCCATCTCTATGCCATAACAGAGTTTTTTTGGGTTAGATCTTGTAAATATATAAATGTGTCGTTAAACCCGCCACCACCCGACACGGTCAACTAGTGAGGGTTGCCACGTAAACAGAACGTGCCAATTCGTCACGAGTACAGCAGCATACCGGTTGTGTGTTGGAGAGCCACCGGTTAGTGCTATACTAGTTAGTGCTATACTAGTGACGAATTGGCATGTTCTGTTTACGTGACAACACTTACTAGTTGATAGCTCAAATCATGTCTGTAAATGAAAATCTGTGCTTATTGCGTATATTCAAGACACTGATATAATTAAGTATAGTAGATTGTATAGATAAGCGTAGCTTTACTATGATATAAGATGGTGCCTAGTACAGCTGTTCAGGTCTCCCTTACTAAACAAGTATTGTTATGGGCAGCCCTATCAATTAGAAAATTGGTGGGGCGTGGGAATTATATCACAAATGTAGAAAGGGAGCATGAGGTTGGTTGTGTATAACTGGGGTGATTAAGTCGGGTTTGGCTAAAGGGTTGAACTTTGCAGTCACCCCTATACACATCCCGGTGGGTGATATCATTGCCCATGTCGATGTAGCCCTTTAAGGGTTTGGGACACATCGCTGCAGACGTAGCAAAATCGGAAATCGCGGCAATCCTCAAAAACGCCAAGACATCAATCAGCAACATCAGTAAGAATTAACGTTTTGAGCTATCGCAATACAAAAAAAGAGGCATGACATCGTCATCCTCTCTGTACTGTACTGAATCGGACTTGGATCTTGTTTGTTTAGAATTTTGGAGATCTTTTTGGTCATGCCTGCTATGTATGGCAACGTGATAGTTTTGATTTTTCCTCACTTGATGCAATAATTTTAGCTGTGACGGTCCCACCTGATGACGGAGACTTGTGTTGCCTCAGAAACGTCGTGATTTATTATTTTATTTGTATTATTACTTTTATTAATTGTATTCTAATTTTTTACCTACGTGACTTTACAGAAAAAGCCTAAGAGTATGAATATTTGTAGTCACGAAAGCTTCAAATCTATAATGCATCTCTAATAATGATTTAGAGATAGGGTTGCCCCCGATCCTGGTTTTCCCAAGGTCCATCCTTTTTTTAGGGAAATCTGTAAATCTTCCTGGGAGACTGAAAGTCTCGTTTTTTGTTAGTAGCATAATAATACAATCCACCATTAAAAATAATGCACTTGCATGTAGTTCTCCCATATTTGGTATTGTGAGATGTTCTTTTAATTATACGTCACAGTGGATTGTATCTTAGAGGTGGAGACTCTAGTGGGAGATTGTGAATCCATGATAAGATGGCAGCATGCTCCGTCATGGCTTTTATAAAGTAAAAAAAAAACACGTCTTGCAAGGAAGAGCTGAGAAACTAGAGTTATTTGGAGGTGTAAATTATAATTGAATTCATTGATTAATATTGATCAAATTCTATTCACGTGCATGATGGCAGCAATGTGTTCAGGAGCTAACTACCAATGTCGAGGTCTGCGAGTCACGACGAGAGGGCTTCAGATGAGAGTTCGTGTAATAAGTAACACATGAAGAATGATGATATGCAGAAGAGCCATTGCCCGAAATGTCACCGAATTTATTTTTCTTTTAGGGCAGTATTGTTGACAAGTGTGTTATTTTGTTAATCGTAGCTCTGCACCACTGGGAATGCAGAAGCGTCACCCAATAATGTAATTATAAATCGACTGATTAATAATGAGAGCTCTGAGCATACCGAGATGTTTTACTGAGCTGGGAACATCGACCGTGGGACTGCTGAACACGTTGCAGTGTCGGCCAGAGGTCTGCCTGGTGAGTGAGCGTTCAGTGCGTGGGGGCAGTCACCGCATCTCGCGATATTTAACGTCTCCCCGGGCAGCCATCGCAACTGACTTGTTACAGATGCGCGTGGTGAAAGCTACACTCTTAATGGCATCAATGCTTCCCCTAATAATCACCCCAATTAACTCTCTTTTTCCAGGTGCAATAAATTAACCTGAAGATTGCTTGTTACAAATGATATCGCATGCATGTCAAACTTGAAATAGTTGTTTCAAATGTGCATGCCTTTCCACCCAGTAAAACAAATAACGTAGTTTTTTTTTACTCTGAATGAGATAATAAAATACAAAAACTTTTTTCTGAAGAAAATAACAGTACGCGGATGCTGTTGTGGTGTAACGATCAGCACATTGGACTTGTCATCTAGAAATTGCCGGTTCGATTTCCCACGGTACAATTGTATTAAATGCTCCCTCACCTCGCCTCTGTCCACCCAGTAGTGTTACGGTAAATGTGTTCACGATGGTTAAGTCGATTGGCAGGTCACACGTGGTGGGATAAAATGTCGGTACTCCCACACTCCCACGGCATCTGGCCAACATGGAAGAGAAGACGACATCGTCTCTGGAGCTCACGATTGTGGAGGCTCTTCAGCCAGCAGTGGTGTAAGCAAGCAATTGTTGGGCTGCACTAATACCTTAAAATGTTATATTATCTAGACATCCAAGGAATAATGAAATAACACGGAAACAAAAAAATACAAGGCACGTCAGACTACACACATCCTTCACACATTTTATGCAACACAAATGAATGCTATTCGCGTGCATATTCACGCAGGCATTGTATGCAACCACTGACTACAGACACTTATGTTAAAGCTTTGTCAACCAGTGTTATTTAGATAGTTTGGCTGGATGGCTAGAAAATAAGACTACATTAAACAGTGTCCGAGATGGTTTAAAAAAATGTGTGCAGTGCAGTGAGTTTGGAAATATGTATTGATTGCTTGCACGTCCTATAAATTGGATTGCTACAAATATCAGCATCAATAATTAAAAATTGCTTCGTGCTTTGACTGCAAAGCACGAAGCACAGCGCCACTACCAATGATATCACGTATGGGATTGGGAGTCACGGTGATAGCTTGGGTTATGGCATATCGTGGTGATATATATTTCTCTCTGCAAACTAAGTTGAGCCACTGCGTTTGGACAAATTGCAATTTGTGCAGAGTTGAGTTCAAAGTTGAGACAAAAAATGGCATTGCAATAATATGATGTCGTTTTTTTGGCTGACCAGCTAGAGTGCACAAGTAAATCAGCCAGGTCCACAGCCGAGCAGTTGTATGCCACTGGTTCGCTTGCATGTTGCAGAGAACCAGAGATATACATTTGAGCAGGAAATTAAGTTGTGTGCGAATTTGAGAAACATTTTGGTTGCACACTCGGGTGGGGGGGACCCCCTGTTTCCAGTTTCAGCCACATTCTCGCCACGGGTACAGGGCTGTCGATGAGAGGTTTTGGAACAGGAAGCCACTTTAATTTGACTTTTAATTTCCGTACTAATACAAGGTGTGAGGATGTATTTGTATTACTGTATATATGAATGTCGACTTTAGTGGGTATAAAAAATACAAAACGTTAAGTAATTAACCACTTATGAGAGTCTAACCAATGAAAACAATTAATTATTAACTAATTTGAGCAGGAGATATCTTTGATGGTGTGTGCATCGGCTAATGCGACGCGTGCCTTGACAGACGCTGATATCTGATTTCTCGTTGCTTTGTCCAGTACTCTCAAAACTGATCACGAGCAAATTGGATTTATGCCATGTTCGTAGTTGTTGATAACCGGGCTGAGATCATTAAACCTGCTGGAGATTAAAAAACTTCAGCAAGAAGGAAGTCCTCGCGCGTTTTTCCCCAGGGCCACAGAGGCGATGGCTATGAACGCGTTCAGTTTACCAGCAACCAAGATACATACGTGCGTACCCTTTGATATCATCTTCAATCTGTTTAACATATTATAGACGGGGGGGGGGATTTTTATTGTGGCAGCATGAACTTTAAAAGCCAAAATTATTAAACGTAATAAAAAATCTGACACAGGTGTATATATTTATATATTCTAAAAAAAGCTTTGCTGATAACTTTCTTCGAAAATGGTGAAAGTTTTTCAAAATATATACATTGAAGGAATTTATAAATACTAACTTCAACCAGTTTCTCCAATGTGTTTTCAGGTTGTGCCACGTGTTGTTCGGGACGGTGTCCGACGTTTCACTGCACTTAAGGGGAGCTTCTTCAGGAACTGAATTAAATAGTTTCTGAAGAAGTTCCCTGAACATGGAGAGAAACGTCGGACATCACGTCGAACGGCACGCGGTACGACCCAAACACAAATCGGAGAGCCTTCATTCCAAATTCACGGTACCTATCATAGCTCGCATATACTGTCTATACTGTATGAGACCGACCAATGGAAATTTACTCCTGTAGTCTATTTACATTCCACACTTGTGCGGATCAGACTTTTTATTTATTTAAAGATGTTAAACCTGTTTTGTATCTTCACAGGTTATTTCTAGTTGTTGTGGCAATGCTATCTGACTGAAAGGCCCTTTCCTGAGAACGCGTGTTTCGACGTTGGAAGGTCATAGGTTGACTAAACCGACCATGCGATCATCATTCTATAGTCAATAAAATTAGAAACACTGAGAAAGTCAATAATGGTTGTCTTATGGATAAACTAATACATGCTATACGAATGCGATATTTCCGCCAATGCTTTAAATGTTTTGTTTGACCTTGAAGGCACGTTGGCTTCACTTGACTAGGGCAATGGATTACAAGACCGAACAAGTGCGGTAAGTGAGCACCTATGAAGGCTGGCACAACACAAGAGGAAGTGGTGGAGCTAACCTCGCATACCCTGCCACCTCTGTCCTTTCGTTGCATTTGATACTATTTTAGGTTAAGTTGACTTACAGGAAGTCTATGATAAGTATGGAGGCAGTTATTGCTGGGGATGTGCATGACCTGGAGTTTCTGCAAAGATGTAGATCCTCAGTAAAAATCCACATGCTTTGTGTGTGTTGGCGTAGTGGTCAAAATTGGTCCAAATTGAATTCGAAAATAAATATTTAAATTTTAAATGACATAATGGCATTTTTTTGTAGTGTAGGACTTTTCTCAATTAGTCCATTTAGAATTATAACAATGTTGATTTCTGTATACTACAGTATTTTGAGTAGAGCTGTGGCGCAGTGATTAGCGCACTGTGCTATGACTCCAGAGGACATGAGCTCGATTCCCGGCGGCGGCTAACATCAGTGTCGAGTGATACCTGAACCGATACAGGCACCTCTTTATCAATCCGCACACAGCAGCGAAGTGAAGTATGGCTAACGTGGTGCGGGGAGGCATTCATCAGCAGTGGATTGACAAACGGGTCTCATTACTGCATGTGTTCTATTACTATACAGTCCAGTGGTTCAGGTTTAACTAAATCAAAGCTAGAACAGACATTAAAAACCCAATTTAAGACACAGTAGTGTCACCATCTGGTCTGAAAAGGTACTGGTATAGATTTCTCTGTGAGACTTAAGAAGGTCTTAGTCCGAGTTTGTTGGGAGACTGAGCACATTGGTCGGGGAAAGTCTCTCCACAGCACATGCAGACTGGCCTTCCCATAAAGCGAACAAACTCTTTGTTTTACTGACCCCCGGACGATGAAGGCACGAGTGGACAGTCCCAATTTCTATTTTAAATCACAGTTGCTGAACACAGGCCCACCAGCCAAAAATGTCAAGCAGTCAGCAACAAACAGCACCATTGAATGTGGAATAGATTTAATGCGTTTCTTGAATTGAGCAAGGTTATAACACAATGGGGGGGGGGGGGGGGGGGTGGGAGGGAATTCCAAAGTCGTACAGTGCAAAGAAGCAGAAAAATAAGTGTTTAGACCTGCAATGTGGTGAGTAGGTGGGTGAGTTTGTGGGTTGGTTTGTTGCTGTGATCATCTGCAGTGCGGTGGTGGGTGAACATGGTGTGGATGGGATGAAACAGTCAGTCTGGCGGGCCGATTCTGCAACATGGGTGGAGGAATCAAGGAGTGGATTTTTTGGGAACAATGACCATGGTAGTAGCGTTATAAGAGAGATAAGTAAGAGGCCAACCAACGGTGAGCGAGCGACTGAAGTTCATTCGTGAGTGCTGGATCATTAATTCATAATCAGATTGTGAGTTAAGTTCTTTGGAAAAGTACCACCTGGCCACATTTTTCTGGATGGAATTAATTTTCAACTTAAGACAGTTGGATAGCAGATTGCACAGTGGTGCCATGACTAAGGCTCAAACTTTCTGTGGGAGCTTACCAGATTCACTTCATTAAAAACAAAATCTGCCTTCCTTGTGCTCGTGTTGCAGCGATCACCATCATCAATCCACTGTTGGATAAACGCCTCGCAATTTGAGCAGCATATCCCACTCATACAAGCATGGGAAGTGCGTGTCTGCTTTCGTAATTGTGAGCCATTGGTGGGAATTCCACTTTCCTATTTTGGAAACCAGTCACTCAAAGGGACAACCTCTGGACTTCCCACAAAATGGTACTAATTTTATTGGCCCTGGAAACATGATATACTAAGTCAACTCTAGACCGTGAACACATGTTTTTGACATTATTGAACTGCTTTGTGTTTAGTTTGTTGTCCTTCTCTCGCACCTCCGATTAGCACGGTTGGCTATGTACAGTGCGAAAGAAGTTCTACATACATACATACATTCGATTTTACAATAAGTTGATTGTGAGTTAAGTACTAAATGTCTGGCAAGTCAGTTCTCACTTCGAGAAATTTGATGGAAAATCGCACACACAAGTTAAAGAATCCTAATTTGGGATTGGAAGAATATGACCTTAGCAGCATGGCATTTTGGGAGTGGTGCATCATTGGGGGATGCTATGGTTGGCGTATCATCTGTTTGCTGCCCTTTAAGATATCTCGCATGCAGCAGCAATTTTCCTGTGTGTACCAGTGGAATTTCCAATTAAATGCTTCTATAAATTGACAAATTCCCCAGTACAAACAGAAAATCACAGGAAACAAGTTGTTGACAGTCGAACTCTGACGCCCATACAAATGATAAAGATTTTTTTTGCAAAAAAGTCAAATAACAGTCTGTAAAATGGAGTTTACACTTTTAACAACAAAAATAAAAGGTTAACCAAAAAAGTTCTTAGCCTGGAATGTTATGTTAAATAACTCTCAGTATAAGAAGGGACTACGTTATGCTGTATGTACAAGATCTGCATTCAACCAAATTTATTTTAAATGGCTGTCCTATGGACAGACTTGTTCACACAATTGGAATGTTGAATTTCCATCACTAGCTCAGGGCTGGTGACAGAGATAGGCACTGCTCAACATTTTTGTTGAGCAGGGAGGCACATTGAAATGGATGTTAACAATGCGGTTATAGCTAAGGACATTTTCTCCAACAGCCCTTTAAGGCTACGCGGGAGATCTTTGTTGTGACGAGTGTGCCGAGGAAATTCCGACCCAGGGCCCCGTGGCCGCCTAGTGGAAGGGCTGAGCGCCGCGCGTGAGTTCTCTCGCCCCCCGGCAGTCGGGCACAGCTCCTCGCAGCCACGAGCCGCGTGCGGCCACTCTGAGCAGAGCAGCGCTCAAGCTGCTCGCTCGGCGACGTGGTCTGAGCCCTCAACGCAGCCGGGCATTTGCCTGCAGAACAGAGCAGTCCATGCAATTATATACACAGAATTAATACTGCCTCACAATTGTTATCGTGCATTGTTGATCGCTGCTGCTCTACTTAAGAGCTTCTGTGTCGTTATCTGTTGGTTAAGAGCTCATTCAAATGCACCCACGCAAGACGCGTGCAACAAGGCTGATTATTTTATTTTTCAAATGAAAATCCTCAACAATGGGACTGAGCCAGAAATGAGAAGAGTTGCAGAGCAAGGAGAGGCAATGGTGGCATCAACGAAGATTAGATATTCTTCTAACGCAGGTGAGTTACAGCTCAATACACCGACATATCTCTGTAAACACTACTTTGCAACCGGTTATTTCAAATTCCCGTATATATAACGCATACGTTGTATGTATTGTATATACAGTGCGTATGTAGATACACATGTGGCTTATGGTTACATTTGTGCAAAGTTTTGCTATACTTTGTGCCAGTAAATCATATTTGTAAATTGTTGTGCAATATAAAACACAAGTGTACACATATGTCCACTGTCAATGGCTCATGGCATATGTACAATAAGTTGATATCAAGAGGATACATTTAGAACGATTCTGTAATGTGTGGAATTATTATCAACATTATATGGTTTGGATAACGTTTATTCAAGGGTCTATTGGTGTAATTAAACAATCACAGGTTATTTGTCTGCATACAACTTTAGCAGGTATTATTAACGTGACAGACGTATAAACTGAAATAATAATGAAGATAGTGTTTTTGAATGTCTAATATCCAAAATACAGAACGAATAGTGGGAATTATGAATTCATCGCACATTAAAGCGCTTATCATCATCTAGCGAAATTAAACCAGTGATATGCGACATGCACAGCGTGCCGCTAAGGCGCGGTGCGTGCTCCTATCTCGAGTGATAATCTGGTTGTAATGGTTCAAACTGCCCTGGTGGCATGCTGCTTCGCAAATGAGAGCAAAACGTTTCATTTTACGATCACAACCACCACCTGTGCCACTCTCATTATCACAAACTATTAAAACGTTGTCCCCAAAAAGACAGCGAACTTCAGAGAGATGGATAGGTTTAGCTAAATTTATGCACCTCCATCGTGAAGATGGTTCTACATATCGCAGAAGAACAGCTGATTACAAAGCAGCTGCTTTATTGTAAATCACATTTAAACGTAGAGCTGGTGACACTTTACTGAGAGGGTCTGACTCACAATTAGAAGGTTGCAGGTTCAAATCCTGATAAAAAAGAAAGTCAACTCAGTCCAGCGACACTCGCTTTGTGGCAAACTGAAGGAACTGTCCCATGAAGAGCCTGGTCCCGACTGTGGGAATGTGGAATTTCCAACGCTGCCTCAGGGCTGCTCATGTATCGATACGTGTCACCCCATTGCTCATGTTGGGCAGAGATATGCCTCGACGTGACTTGATGGTGAATATTACTGTGTGATTGCACGTAGCTATCCATAACATCTAAAAAAAGAATGCATTTAATGTATTTCCGCTGTAGGCTTTCTCCAATGAGTTGTCGGGTTGTATCCATTGCTGGGAGTTTCATAAAAAAAACTGAATATTCGGACATCACGCCAAACTCTCTGCACGCAACAAGCTGAAAATGCATCGGAGAGCTCTGCACATTTATCTACCACTGACCGAAATGTGATCCTTTACGGGGGTTATCGACTCAAAGTGTGGTCCTAAGATTCCAATCACATAGCCTGCATTCGCCCTCTGTGTCCCCCACGCTAAACAAAGCTTCTCCGTACACGAGCAGTTTGCTGTCCAATTGTGCATACATTACACAATGCAAATCATTGCAATTACGTCCGCTGATTGTTAGACGTGATTGAGCTTTCCCGCTGCTGGGTAAACTTACACGCTCCATACATACAAAGTGCCACTTATGGCCATTAACGGCGCATGTGGTCACATTTAATGATATCGCCGTAATGAGCTGTAATGACTGGAAATGACTGGCAGGTTCACCTGCGTAAATAGGCCATTCAAGTAAGCGGCGTTGTCTAACACAGGCTCACCTTTGGTACTGACTATGTCAATTGAATTCATGTAATCATTGCATAATACCATGTGATCCACATTCTATCGCCACAGCACTGCAAATGAGACGTTGCACCAGGATGTTTGAGACATTCCTTATATCATTCTGTGGACCAGGCAAGCCTGATTCCTGGAAACGGTAAACATCGGTGGTAAGTGATAGCTGAACTGGTCCTAAGCTCTGCCTCCACCAATCTCCAGTGGTGAAGTATCGTCAAAAAACCCCATTACCGGCACAACGTGGGGAGGCTATTATCCAGCAGTAGATTGACAAAGAGAAATATAAAAAAAACTGATTTAGAAGAGTTGGTAATTGCTCCATTCTTACAGTACAAGGCTATCACGAAGGCAATTCATTGACGAGTATAATCTGCCAATAGACAATGATGTAACTCATTGTCATTTATTTTTGGAGGTGAGAGTCTGGAGAGATGTAGACCCGGGGCCTGTGTTTCCAAAGGCATGGTTATTCATTTGTTCAGATATCCTTTATTTAATGAGGTGGTATCCCATTGCGATACATCTCATATTTTCACCATGGGTAAAGATAGTTAAGTTACATTTTCAATGTCTTTTGGGAGTAATTTCAAGATGGTGTATTTGAGCCATGATGCTGACAAATAATGCTTTGTAATTACAAATTATATTACGGAGTCTTCAGCCACCACTTTGCAGATTCATCTTTAGTCCCGTTTAATCCCTCTGCCAGACGGCAGCGTCTTTGTCTCAAACTCTCTCCATCCTCTCTGGCTCGGAGTTCACGTCTTCATTGCCCTCTATGGACCCCCCCTTCCAGTGATCGAGTAGACTTTTAATTTTTATACCTCTTGGCCTCTTTCCCAACAGCCTTCCTTGTGGAACTTCCTCCATAAAGCTTTCAATTCTGCAGATATCCCCCAGTCCACATCTTTTGCTATGTTTTTATTCTAATGAGAGTTCTATCCTCCTGAACCTGCCATCGAACGTCCTAATTTCTCACTCTTTCTCCATCCCACTGATTTTATCAATGCGGTGCCACAACTCATATCTCCAGACTTATCAGTTTGTGTCTTTCTTTAGCAGCGTCCACGTCTTGGCCCCATACAATGCTCCACTCCATGCTGTGGGGGCTTCACGAGTCGCTTCACGGCTCTATGCCCTCTCGTGATGTCAGCAGCATTGGTCTCTTGCCGCACGCTGCTATTCCCGTGGCAATCCTGGCTCTGGTAATTCTCTGTGGAAGAAGCTAGCACACATGGTGGGAATTGAACCGTCCACCCCAACTTGACATGGCTGAATGCTGAGCATGTTGCCCGCGAGACTACGAATAAAAGCGCTGGCTATGAACAAATGTATGATAAAATAACATACTGTATATACAAATAAATGTTTGAGACGTCATTAAACGTTGCAGTGATTTTTTTGCAGTATCTGCAATGCCACAATTTAACAATAAAATTAACAAGTCACATCCTTGTGTAAATTCTGGTGAAAGAATCCGGCATCAATGTACTATACAGCATTCCCTCGCTATTCGCGAGGGATACGTTCCAGATATACTCGTGAATAGAAAATTTCGCAGATGATGATATTGGTCTACGAAAACCTATATATTTTAAGGGATTAACTCAAATAATACATAAGCTATTAAATACATGAACATTTTCGTATTTTTTTTACAATAAACAAAGTAAATACAAAATAAATATGAAAGTAATAAATAGTATTTTTAAAATGCAGTCTTGTAGAGTTCCTGATGCGATTCGCAGATAGCCAAAAATGCGGATAGCAAGTTCGTGAATAACGAGGGAATACTGTAGAGGATTACAATTAGCCCTTGACTAAACAGGCACGAGGCACTGACTGGCTGGCAGATGAATGAATTAATATGATGCCTTAATTTTCTTGCTGTGATGTATAGCCATTTGAATCGCAATGAGTTTACAGCAGAGTTATAATTGTGTGACATCTTTCTGAGGGGATGTGAAGGCACCAAAGTATGGTCGTGCACGTGTATAGAACAGAGACATCCCTAATCCGAACCTGTACAGCTCTCTGAGCAATCCATTTGTGAATGAGGTCTTGGGGGGCTATTTGACCATACTTCACCACCCTGGTCACTGCGAGTTGTTGAAGGTGAGGAGCACAGACATGGGAGAAGAGTACAGTACAGTTGTTCTACATTGCCCTTTGCCGCCCTGCACAACGGAGCCCCCAAAGCAGCCTCTGACGCCCGTTATCCAAGGTGGTCGCCCGTTATCCAAGATGGTCTCCCGTTCAGGCATTCTCCAGAGACCACCCTGCTCACCTCCGGGTGATTTGGTAATGGACAGACAGCGCCAACATGTGTGAAAATACGCGAACATCAATTATTGAGTCGGTTATTTGCATGTCGTCATTCCTACAATTCCCACAGAAGCCACCTGGCTCATTCCTACGGGGATGTTCCCAAGCGCGTCGTAATCCGTTGCGAAGCGGACATTGAATGGCTTTGCGATATTATTTGCAAGAGTAGATAATTGCGATTATTTTGAAATGTAACGTCAGCGGAATCAAAATAATTAAACAATCATCTTGAGCCCTTCGGCAATCGACTGCTTAATGGAGGGACTCCCCCACTGTGTAAACCACGGGGATTGATAGAACATACTTCACCACTGGTGACGGAGACATGGGGGGGGGGGGGGGCACACGGCCCAGGACCGGTTCACTGACGTTAGCCATAGCCATCAATTGAACTCGGGTACCTGGGGTTTGTAGGGTGCACATCTCTAACCACCACACCACTGATTCCCAAGGCTCCACATTGACTGTTGAACAGCAAAACAATACTAACCGAATAGTACATCTCACTTGCGGGGGCAAGATAATGGACATCAATGGGCGCTCGCCTGGTTAAACAAAGGACGTTGAGTTGACTCGAACTGTTGCCGTGACGCGACGTGAGCCCAACAGGGGCCCTCGAGTTGATTGCGGGATCCGCTGAGCGCTGGAGGAGGTCGCAGTCCAATCGCTCCCGGGCGCCCCCTCGTGGCGCAGGCCCGGGCAGCCCTGGGGCACTGGGCTGCTCGCAGGGTTTGGGGGCAGTGAACCCGATGGGCACCGACGACATCTGCGCACAAGGCCCAAAGCTGTTAAATGTAGAGCCAGGGGAGAGACCTTTGACATTTTGCTGTAGATCCGCATATAACGAGTTCCTGTCAAAATTTGCACTTACAGTAGTCAAATATAGTCAGGCACACGTCTCCATACAC